ATTTTTTAAGAAGCTGTTGTTAATAGATGTGTGTGTGAGAGCACTCTCCATAGCCATCCCCCAGTGCAGAGGGAGCAGGTAAAAAGACCCATTTCCCAGTTTTTCCTTGGGAGGAAACTGGCTGCACAGTTTACAAACCAGTGCCTGAGGGTACAACTTCTAATTAGGATGCAACTTCTAGGGGATGACTATGATCTTCCTTGGAGCACACTTTCTCCCTCTAGCTCACTCCAGCAATAAACCAAATTTGCCAGGATCTCCCTGGAGAAGCATGTGCATACGTCTAATGCCCCAATTTTTATGGCTGCCACCAAAGGGATGGACCCCCAAATCACCTGATAGTAAACTGGGCTTGCATTTCTAAGTCCAACAGGAAATATAGCAAACAAAGGTGCAGTTTTTAAATGGGCACAGAAGCACAGAGGGAGCAGGCAAAAATGCCCATCTCCCAGTAGCTCCCTGAAAGGGTTTTGACTGCATACGTTCCCAGCTGGTACCTGAGGCTCGGCTTCTAATTAGCTTGCATTCAGGTGCTGACTGCAAACCTCCCCTTTGGGACACTAACGAGACCTACACAGAGACACATAATTAAATTGTTAAAAGTTAAAAACAAAGAGAGGATTTTAAAAGCAAGGGAAAAGTAACTTGTTATGTACAAGGGAACCCCCATGAGAATATGAGCAGATTTTTCAGCAGAAACCTTGTAGTTCAGAAGGGAGTGGGATGATAGATTCAAAAGAAAAAATTGCCAACCAAGAATACTTCATCAAGCAGAGTTGTCTTTCAGAAGTGGAGAAATAGTGTTTTACAGACAAGTGAAAGCTGAAGGAGTTCATCACCACCAGACCAGCCTTACAAAAAACAGGTAGCAATACAATAATAGTAAGGGACTTCAGTACTCCCTTTTAATAATGGGTAGATCATATGGACAGAAAATCAACAAGAAAACACTAGGCTTAAACTACAAGTTATACCAGATAGACTACCATACATTTACAGAATAGTCCATCCTGCACCAGAATACACATTCTTCACAAGTACACATGAAAATTATCTGATAGGTCACATGTTAGGCAAAAAAACAAGTCTTAAAAAATTTAGGAAGATTGAAATCATATCAAGCATCTTTTCTGACCACAGTGGTATGAAGTTGAAATCAGTTACAAGAAAAAAACTGGCAAATTCACAAATATGTGGAGATTAAACATGCTCCTAAACAATGGATCAAAAAAATAGATCAAAGAGAAATTTAAAAATATCTTTGCAAGGAAAAAATTGTAACTATGTGAGGTGATTGATGTTAACTAAATCTATTTTGGTAATCACTTCCTAATAGGTACATATATCAAATCATTACATTGCACACTTTATACAATGTTGTATGTCAATTATATCTCAATAAAACTAGGAAAAAACTTGAAAAAAATCTTGAGGTAAATGAAAAATTGAAACACAACATACCAAAAGTTATGAGATTCAGCAAAAGCAGTTCTAATAGGGAAGTTTATAGAGTGATCAGCACCTACATTAAGAAAAAAATAAAGATCTCAAGTAAACAACCTAATTTAACATCTCAATGAACTAGATAAAGCTAAACCTAAAGTTAGTAGAAGGAAGGAAATAACAAAGGTCAGAGCAGAAATAAATGAAATAGAGACAAAAAAGGCAACAGCAAAGACCTATGAAATGAAGAGCTGTTTTTTGAGAAGATAAACAAACCTCTAGCTAAAATAAGAAAAAGAGAGAAGACTCAAATAAATAAGTTCAGAAATAAAAGAGAAGGTACTACAACTGAACACAGAAATACTAAGGGTCATAAGAAACTACAGATGACTCTTGAACAACACATATTTGAACTGTGTGGGTCAACTTATACATAAATTGTTTTTCAATTGACTGAAGTTCAATTGACCCATGCAGTTCAAACTCAAGTTGTTCAAGGGTCATTCTGTGAATTTACATATACAGAGTACTGACTATAGTTATATGTGGATTTTCAACTGTGCGGGAAGTTTCCACTCCTAACCCCTATGTTGTTCAAGAGTCAATTGTACTATAAACAATTATACCCCAACAAAATAGATAATATAGAAGAAATGGACAAATTCCTAGAAACATACAACCTACCAAGACTGAATCATGAAGTAGAAAATCTGAACACAGTGATTACTTGCGAGGAGATGGGATCAGTAATCAAAACCTTGCAAAAAAAGAAAAGCCTAGGACAAGATCGTTTTACTGATGAATTCTACCAAACATTCAAAGAAGAATTAATACCAATCTTCCAAAATCTTCCAAAAGACATGAGGAGCGAACACTTCCAAACTCATTTTATGAGGCCAGAATTACCTTGATATCAAAGTCAGACAGTGACATTACAAGAAAAGAAAATTACAGGCAAATATTTCTGATGAATATAGATGCAAAATTCCTCCACAAAATGTTAGCAAACCAAATTTAATAATACATTAAAAGGAGCATATATCATGATCAAGTGGGGTTTATTCTTGGAAATGCAAGGATGTTTCAACATACACACACCAATAAATATGATATATCATTTAAAAAAAAAAAGGATAAAAATCATACAATCATCTCAATAGATGCAGAAAAAAGCATTTGACAAAATTCAACATTGTTTCATGATAAAAAAACACACAATCTCTCAACAAATTAGGTATAGAAGGAATATACTTCAACATAATAAAGGACATATACAGGGTGGGGCAAAAGTAGATTTACAGTTGTGAATACACAAAACACAAAGTTTATTATTATATTATTAATTATTGTATTATTTTCCATATGAACAACTGTAAACCTACTTTTGCCCCAACCTGTATGACAAGCCCACAGCTAACATCATACTCAATGGTAGAAAGCTAAATGCTTTTCTTCTAAGACCAGGAATAAGACAAGGATGCCCATTCTCACTACTTTTATTCAACATAGCCAGAGCAATTATGCAAGAAAAAGAAATAAAAGGCACCCAACTCAGAAAAAAAAAAAAGTAAAATTATCTCTGTTTGAAGATGACATGATCTTATATATAAAAACCCTGAAGACTCAACCAAAAAACTGTTAGAACTAATAAACAAATTTAGTAAGTTGCAGGATACAAAATCAATATACAAAAATCAGTTGTATTTCTATATATTAACAATGAACTATTGCAGAGAGAAATGAAGTAAACAATCCCATTTACAATATTATCAAAAAAATAAAATACTTGGGAAAAAATTTAACCAAGGAGATGAAAGATCTATATACTGAAAAGCATAGAACATTGATGAAAGAAATTGAAGACACAAATAAATTGAAAGATGCTCCATGTTCATGGATTAGAAGAATTAATATTATTAAAAGGCCTATACTATCCAAAGCAATCTACAGATTCAGTACAATCTCTCTGAATGGCATTTTTCATAGAAACAGAAAAAAACAATCCTAAAATTCATATGGAATCACAAAAGACCCAAAATAGCCAAAGAAATCTTGAGAAAGAAGAAACAAAGCTGAGGCATCACACTTCTTGATATTAAGCTATATTACAAACCTGTAGTGATCAAAACAGTATGGTATTTGCATAAAAACAAACACATAGATCAAGGGAACAGAAGATAGTCCAGCCCTGGCTGGTGTTGCTCAGCGGTTAGAGCACTGTCCTGAGCACCAAAGGGTTTTAGTTCAATTCCTGGTCAGGGCACACACCCAGGTTGTGGGTTCCATCCTTGGACGGTGCGTACAAGAGGCAAACAATTGATGTTGATGTTTCTCTCTCTCCCCCTTTTCTTTCCTCTGTCTTTAGAATCAATGAAAAAAATTGGGTGAGGGTTAAAAAAAAAAAGAACAGCCCATAAATAAGCCCATGGCTAAATGGTGAATTAGTTTTCAATAAAGGAACCAAGAATATACAATGGGGAAAAGATTGTGTCTTCAATAAATGGCTTTGGGAAAACTGTATATCCACATACAAAAGAATGAAAATGGATGGGCCCCTATCTTATATCAGACACAAAAATCAACTCAAAATAGATTAAAGACTTGAATGTAAGACTTGAAACCTTAAAACTCTTAGAAGAAAACAGAGGCAGTAAGCTCCTTGACACCGGTCTTGACAATAATTTTTTTTGGATTTGACACCAAAAGCAAAGGCAACAAAAGCAAAATAAACAAGCCAGTGGGATTTCGTTAAACTAAGAAGCTTCGGCACAGCAAATGAAACCATTAACAAAATGATACATTACCTTACACTTGTTAGGATGGCTGTTATCAAAAGACAAGAGATAAATGCTGATGTGGAGAAAAGGAAACCCTGATACACAGTTGGTGGGAATATAAAATGGTACAAGCACTATGGAAAAGAGTATGAAGGTTCCTGAAGAAATAAAACATAGAACTACCACATGACCAACAATCCCACTTTTAGGTATATACCCAAATGAAATGAAAGCACTCTCTGCACCCCCATGTTCACTGCAGCATTATTCACAGCAGCCGTGGTATGAAAATAACCTATGTGTCCACTCAAAGATGGCTGGGTAAAGAAAATGTGATCTACATATGCATATATATACATATATATGTATATACATAATGAAATATTATTTGTCCTTATAAAAGAAGGAAATCCTGGTATTTGCAACAACATTAAGCAAAATGAAATGACTGACAAAGACAAATACTGCATGGTATCACTTGTATGTAGAATAAAAAAAAACACGTTTTAAAAGTCAAACTCATAGAAACAGAGTAGACTGGTGGTTGCCTGGGACTGGCGGTGGGGAGGCTGGATAGAGAGAAGCTAGCATAAAGGTATTATCTTGGGCATGAATGAGAAAATACACTTAATTCTGTCCTATTTAATTGGTCATTGTGATCAGATCCATTTATAGGTCTTTTTTTTAGAAGTTGCTGGGCAGAACTTAATGATATGTCTTGATGCATTTTTATTTAAATTTACCTGACCCACTGCGTATCTCTCTGGCCTTTCATTTCAGTACGCTGAATGGCACCAACGCTCCTTCTTTTTCTGGTCCATGGGAGAACAACGAGTTCAGTGCTGTAGCCCTTGCTAACTGCTGTGAATTCTACCCCAATGCTGTGTGTCCCTAAAGCTGGTCCATTTTCAGAACAGTATTGATCTTGACAGATTTTTTATTGTAAAGGTATTTATGTACTCAAGAGTTCCCACTCTTCAACTAACTCACCATGATTTTCAACAGTAAATGAAAAAAATTTATTTGGTTCACTATATGCCAATAATGAAAATTAGCATTTGTCTTTCCATTATTTGGCTGAACCAAATAGGAATTTCCTTATGGGCTCTGTCTGAGTTTATATGTGAAATAATAAATATTACCATATCAAAAATATCTTGCAAATCTTGCTTCTAGTTGTCATCTTAAAAATTATGTGATGCAGTCTGCTATAAATGTGATTTGGTATGTAATGTGTACTACGTTGAAAAGCTGTATTTCTTGGAGTTCTGTGAATGAGCTAGATTTATGGTGCTAAAGGTACATATGAAAATTACATGAATATATAACAATAAAATTTTTTCTGGTTGTCACACATACAAACTCCTTAACATTACATAGTAAACAAAAAGTATTTCCTGTATGCAAACATGAAAGGAATGTTCATTTCTTAAAGGCCCTTACTTTGTTTTAATATTCTGCTTTAAAGCCACATTTGTTTCAAGTTTACAAGGAATCCTTTAAAACAGTGGTTTTCAGTGGGAATGAGGTCAGTTTTGCCCCCCAGGGGACATTTGGCAATGTCTTGAGACACTATTAGTCATCACAAATGGGGGCGATGCTACTGACATCTACTGGGTAGAGGCCAGGATTGCTACTAAGCATAGTACAATGCATAGGTTTCTCAGGCCACAAATATCAACAGTGTTAAGACTGAGACACTCTGATTTAAAATGTTTAAAATATGCCTTATATCTAATATTATTTATAATATTAATAATATTATAGCCTTAAGTAAGAGTTTCAAAGGGATGTAGAGTTCCTCAAAAGTTAAACATGGAATTACCCTATGGCCCCACAATACCACTCCTAGGCATAGACACAAAAGAACTGAAAACAGGTATTTAAACAACTATACACATATACTTGTTCATAGTAGCACTAGTCACAGTAGTCAAAAGATGGAAGCAGCCCAAGCCCAAATGTCTGTCAGTGGCTGAACGGAGAAATAAATCATGTTATGTACATATGATGGAATTTTATTCAGCCATGAAAAGCATGAAGTACTGATATATGCTACTTACAAAGGGGAACCTAGAAAACATTATGCTAAGTCAAAGAAGCCAGACACGAAGGCTTGTTACTGTATGATTCTATTTTGTATGATTCCATTTGTATGAAATATTCAGAACAGATAAGTCCATAGAGACAGTATAGATTGGGGCTGGGAAGAGTGGGGAATTGGGAGTGACCACTTCATGAGTGTGCAGTTTTACTTCAGGGTAATGGAAATGTTTTAGAACTAGATAGAGGTGGTGGCTGCACAGCATTATGAATGTACTAAATGTCACCGATTTGTTCACTTTAAAAAGGTTAGTTTTATGTTATGTGAATTTCACCTCAGTAAATTACATATGTATTTAAAAATGGATGTAGATCCTTGTATGTTCCCAAACTAATCTACCTTCTTCCACTTCACAATTATCTGAGCTCAGAACCTCTTGGTCTTCCTTCCAGTCTCCATTCCTATCTCCTCTCTCATATTTTCTAAAGTTGACGTAAAAGGAAAAGAAGCCTCAGTAAACTGCTTCTTGACCTGCACCCTGGTTTTTACCCTGGCCTGGTTTCTCTCTGAGAGGCAGCAGAATGCAGTGGTTGGTGGTGCTGGACACTAGGCCAGATTACTTGGGTTCTGATTCCGGCTCTGCCACTTATCCTTGGGTGATCTTGGGCGAGTTCCTTACCTTCTCTGTACCTTGCCATCTTCATCTGTAAAATGGGGAAAACTGGACCTACCTTATAGGGAAAAGTTGTGAGGTTGACTGCTCACTGCAGGCTCAATGCAAGGGTTAGCTGCTACTGATCATTACTACGTAAGGATCATAGTTCAGGACTATCAATTTATTGAGTTATCTATGCAATTCAGTCCACACAAGGAAGCTTGTAGCACGGAGGGAACTCCTTATCTCCTTTCAGGGGAAAGGGTGGGATTTCTAATTCTCAATTTCCCATTTAAAGCAAATCTGGTTTACAATCCCACACTTAAGAGGGCTGAGCTGTAACAGCAGGAAGCTNCCCACACTTAAGAGGGCCGAGCTGTAACAGCAGGAAGCTTGACAACCTGTACCACCAAGGCCTCTTGACAACCTGTAACAGAGGAAGCCTGACAACCTGTAACACCACGGCCTCTTGACAACCTGTAACAGAGGAAGCCTGACAACTTGTACCACCAAGGCCTCTTGACAACCTGTAACAGAGGAAGCCTGACAACCTGTAACACAGAGGAGCCTGATTAGCGTGAGAAGCGAACGGGAAAACCAGGGGCTGAACTCGATCTCAGCAAACTCGAGGCCCACTCCGGAGCACCCAGGTGACTTGGGTGGACGTGGGCCAGGCGGGATGGGGTTGGGTGCGAAGTGCCTGGTCAGCCTGGGAGATGCAGCAGGGATCACTCACTCTCGGACTCATCCTGGGGGCAGACGTGCCCACTCCGGGGCCCGGGAGGCGCCAGGGCTCCTGCGCTTGGCTTCCACAAACCAGTGCTTTCTGAGTCCCAGGTATAGAAGCCCCAGGCAGAGAGGGGAGGAACCCGAAGGAGAGAGTGGGTAAGAGAAAAGACAGGGGGACGGAGGGAAATGGGAGCTGTGAAAGGAGGCTGTGGAAGCAGCAGTGTGGAGAGGGGACCGTGGGATGGGGAAAGGGCAGTGGCCGACTGAGTCACTGAGCGGGTCATCTCTTTCCCCTAAACACTGCGCCCTGAGTCTCTCTTGCGCATACGGTTCCACAGCCTGCCTTTTTGGCTTAAGGTGTGGGGACGCCTTTGTAGGCCAGTGCCTATAGATGTACCTCATTCATTTTATAGGCCACGTGGCATCCCATGTAGAGAGGTACCCAAGTTATCTATTCTTTTTCCTATTCATGGACATTTATATTGACTTATATTTGACCAATTATTTCTAGAAGCCTGAGGTGCACAAAGTTTGTGTTTGACTCCCACTTCTGACTCTGCTTTAGGTGCCTGGCCTACTCTTGGTGAAAGTTCTTGGCTAAGCTTTTGGTTGTCAAGCCAGGTTATCACCTCTGTGGGAGTAACTGACCTTTCAGACAGAAATACAAAGGTTAGGAGCCAGAGGATCTGGATTCAAAGTCTTGGCCTGAGTCCCTTTGAAGCCTTGTGAAAACTCTTAATCTCTCTGAAGCTCAGTTTCCACTTCTGAGTAATGAAAGTGATGATAGTTATACCTACCTTATGAACTGCTAGAAAATTTGAATTAATAATGTATATGAAAAACCACATTGTGGAAATGGTAAGGTGCTCCAAAGATACTCTTTTCACAAGTACTTGAAGTGTAAGGACCTTAGAGAGTCTGCTCCTGTATACAGGAACTTGCGCTTGGTGCCACTCCTGGCATTGCTTATCTACTGAGGTGTACGTGTTTGCTTCCTACCCCCATTTAATCCATACATCAACCCTTTGAGGAAGATACTGTTACTATCCCAGTTTTCCAAAGGAGGAAATATAGGGTTAGAGAGATTGAGTTGTCCCTAGAGTAGCATAGAAAGTGGCAGAGCTGGGATTTGATGACCCCAGGCTCTGTCTGACTCCAAAAGCCTTGGTTTGTTTAGTTACTTATTTATTTACTTATTTACTTACTTACTTATTTATTTATTTATTTATTTATTTATCTTTTTATCTTATTTCTTTATTATCTTTTTTTTTTTTTTTAATCTCTTCCTACCCACTACCCCTTTGCTCTTAACCACTGTGTCAATTCTCATACGACCTCAGCCTTCCTCGCCTTCCTCTGCTTGGTCTCACCCTGTGCCTCAAGGCCTGCCGGTTTAACCCATGTTACCTCATCAGCTTCTAACATACTTATACATCCTGAACTACCTGTGTGCCCATCATGTCCTGCTATGTGGCATCTTGTGTTTTTGCTTTATTTTGCGGTTTGTCTTATTGTTGTTTTCTCTTGCAGTATGGCAGCAAGTAGAACAACGGTCGTTAAAAAATCTGGCGATTTCCTTGAAGACAAAAATTGTCTTTATTTAAAAAGCTACTTCTATCAGTTCTTTGAATATGGAGCTCCATGAGGGAAGAGACCAAGTCTGTTATGCTACCAGAGCCCAGGACCTAGCACAGCCTAGCCAAAAGAACAAAAAAGGCGTTTAATATTGTTTGAGGAATAAAAAAGATGAGGCTCCAAGATTTGGCCCTACACCTGGGGCAAAACAAACATGGAGAAAATGTCTGCTAAATGAAAGCAAATACATAAAGCACTTATACTGCCTGAGACAAAGTAGGCTTTCAATCAGTGTTAGTTATTATTGCTACATACCTGTAATAGGAATGGGGTGGGGCTTAGGCGGGCAGGTAGAAAATGGGAAGGCAAGAGGAAAAAAGTGGAGCCAAGTGATGCAGAGCTCGGGCTGCTTGTGAGGAGGTGGCCAGTGAGGACCCCTCAAAGGCAGAAATGGGCAAAGGGCGTTTCTGGACAGGGATACCTAGTGCTTGTCCTGCTGTAGCCCCACCAGCTTTGCCCTCGAATCTTCAGTAAATGTCTGCTCTATGTGGGGCCTGGTGCCCATGGTAGTTTGAAGAATTCATGAACCCGGGCAGCGTCCAGTACAGGTGGTGTGATGTGGACAGTCCGGTCAGCGGGACAAAGCAGTCAGCAGGAGCAAAACAGAGTCAGAGATTACAGGGGGAAAGGTAAGACGTCCAAGAAACTCAGAAATACTGGGGACGATACTGGTTTTTCTCATTTGATAGAGGATGGGGGATCGAGACCATTTCTATTAAGTCTTAAAGGAGGAAGGGCTCTCCAGTAGGCTGGCAGACTTTGGGGACATCGAGGCAGCTAACCTTGAGTTATACTTTTGTGGTTATTCCAAACAGGTTGTGTTTATGACATG